TTTTTTTTTTTTTTTTTTTTTTAAGGCACTTGGGGCTCAAACTTGTGATCCTTCTGCCTTAGCCTCCCAGAGTGCTGGGATCACACACTTGTATTAATTACCACCCTAGGCTCCGCTCCTTGGTTTCTAAAGTAGCTCATTTGTTTGCATTAAGACAAAAAGGCACAGGATATTGGTGCTTAGCTTACATTATTGAGGACCAGTGAACATAGTTGGCTTAGGAAATAAATAAGCCTTCTGGCCAAAAGCATAAAGGATCTAGAATCTCAGAACTGTGGGTTTTAGGTTTGTTTTTGTTTGTTTTGTTTGTTTTTTGTTTGTTTGTACCAGGGATTGAACTCAGGACCTTGCACTTTCGCTGGCATGGTGCTACTGAGCTAAATCCCTGGCCCAGAAATAACATTTTTAAAAGGAAAGTTGAAATACTAATAAACTGCAGGATCACTATTTTGAAGATAGGTAAGCTGTATACTGTATAGGTATACTTGGCCATCTGATTGGGATCAGTCTGTGGTTAAAGTTTGTGAACAGTTTGGGAGAATCTGAGCCCTGGAATCAACAGGTTTGATAGGTCTGGTGGTAGAAAGTCTTCATCAGGCACTGACTTTAAGATGTGTACTAAAATCTGTATGAAGTATTATTACATGATTGTAATTAGAGAGAGGCTTGAGAAGTTCTGAGGGTTAGAAGTGAGCTCATTCTTTCCCTCCATTGGCAGAGCCCCCCCCCATCAGAGCAGTGTATACCTGTTTGTCAGTGCTTGGTTGTATTGTTTTCTAGACCCAGGGGCCCCACAAGCTTATGATACTTCTTAAGGTCTTTTTTTTTTTTTTTTTTTAACTGCAGCAGGTGTTTCTATAAACTGAATCAGTCATATGCAGTTCATAAAGAGGGGGCTGATGCCAGTAAAGTATAGAGGTTGTACTGCTTAATCTGTACTTTTTCCCAGGCAAGAAGAACTGCAACAAAGAAGTATAAGTGTTGTCTTTCATAGGAAAGGAAAAAGTTCCTAGCCGGAGTCTTGCACAAATGTGCGACTTGCTAGTTCTATTACAGGAAATTTAAATGTGAGCCCCTGAGCTTCCCTGTCGGAGGTTCACCTTTGTCATGGCATGGCTCTCAGCCCATGGCAGGTTGCTCTTCTCTCCTATGCATCTTTGGTATCTCAGCAGTCATATGTCAGCATCTCTACTCTCTTTTTTTTTGTGTTTACTTAAAAAGAAACACCTTATAATTTTGTGGTAATTATAGATTCTCTTGCATTTGTCAAAAGAAATAGAGATCCAGATCTCTGTAGTGCTAACATTGCGTATAACTAGAGTTCAATGTCAAGGCCAGAAAATTGACTTTGATCAGGTCATGCCCATGTTACATGCATTTTGACGCATGAGCATGTGTTCATCTCTGTGCAGCTTTATCATGTATGTACTCTTGCAGCTCCCACCAGTCAGTTGTAGACAGTCTGTCACACAATCCTTGACTTTTTTTTTTTTTTGGTACTGGGGATCGAACTCGGATCCTTGCACTTGCAAGGTAGGCAGCAGAACCACTAAGCTGAACCCCTATCCCTATCCTTGCCTTTTATAGCCATAGTCATTCCTCCCTTTCCCATTCCTGGGAAGATAACCTGTCTGTGTCTATAATTCTGTTTCAAAGATATAATATAAATGGCCTAGGAATTTAGCTCAGTGGTGCTACACTTGCCTTGCATGTACAAGGTCCTGAGTTTGAGCCCCGAAAACAAACCAAAAAAAAGATAAATTCAGTAATAAAGTATGTAATGAGGGCTTTGGCTTTTTTCACTCAGCATTTCTCTTGAGATTTAAGTTGTGCATATTTTTACTGAGTAGTTGTGTGAGAATAAACTATAATAAACTCTTAGGTGGTTGAAGATTATCTTGTGCTGTTTGTAGGGTTTGGCTTTTTTTCTTCAGGTTTTTTTGTTTTTTGTTTTTTTCCACTTTTCTTTTTTGGCACAGGGAATTGAACCCAGGGCCTTGTGCTGACCAGGCAGACACTGAGCTACATCCCTGGCCCTCTTCTTCAATTTTTGAGACAGGGTCTGTGTATTTCAGGCTGGACGTGACCTCGCCATGTAGCTCAGGCTGGCCTTGAATTCACAGAGTTCCTCCTGTCTCAGCCTTCCAAGTGATAGGATGCAGGCATGTGCCACCACACCCAGCTAGAATTTTGCTATTCTGAATAAAGGTGCTATTAATACCTATATGCAAATTTTTGTATGAAAATGAGTTTTCTTTTGTCTGGGATAAATGCCCAAGAATGCAATGCTGGGTTTTGTATATTCTTATCATCCTATGAGACATGGTTGCTGGTTGGTTAATGTTAATAGTTATAATTTCTGAGGAGCCTGCCTCAGCTATACTTTTCCCACAAATCTTGTTATGTTGTTGAGTTTTGGCCCAGTACTAGAGATCGAACTCAGGACCTCATGCTTGCAAAGCAGGCATGGTGCCATTGAGCTAAATCCCTGGCCCTAATTTCAAGGTCTTAAGAAATGTGTATGCTGTGCCATATCAGAGACACTGACACTAGTCTTAAAGTGTGCTTACACTAGGGTTAAGGCTATGGGGTTGGTTGTGTCATGGGTGGTAAGCCTAAACTCCCTCTTTCCATCAGGGATGATGGCCCCTCTTCCTCAATCTCAGCACTCAAGCGTCTGGAGCGGAGTCAGTGGATGGATAAGATGGACATGCGATTTGGCTTTGAGAGGCTGAAGGAGCCTGGTGAGAAGACTGGCTGGCTCATCAACATGCACCCTGTAAGCACCTGTGTTGCTCAGCCCTCTGCTCTGTGGCG